AAGCAAGAACTATTTGATTCATCGTTAATTTTTGAGAGAGAAAAAAGTCAAAGAATAGTTGAAACTTGAAAGGCGCTTGTGCAATGCCACCAACTCTCAAAAGGTGTGAAAGTTTGGGAGTTTTGAGGCGGGGTTGGTGGCGTTTGAACCGGCGGAACATCCGACTCGATCCGAGAATAAGTAGTCCTTCACCCGAGACTCGACCCCATTTGACCAAAACAAGTTTTCACCCAATCCGAACCTGACCCGATATATAATTTAAAAACCAGTCCTGAAATAATAAAAAATATTTTTATTCAATAAAAACAGTAGGAATGGCAACGGGTCGGGTTCGGGGCGGGTTTTGCTTGCCCAGTTCCCGAACCCGAAATGAATCCCCATTCCCCGACCCCGACCCGATCCCTGACGAGTTTTTTATCGAGGCGCCCCGTCGGGGATTTTTTTTGCCCCGAACCCAAACCCGAACCCGAAAATATTTTATATATAATTAATATAAAATATATAAAATATTATATATATAATTAATATAAAATATATAAAATATTATATATATATATAATCGGGGCGGGTCGGGGCAGGGATACCTTGCCTCGAGCCCGAACCCGACCCGAAAAAATCCCCGAAAAAAATCCCAGAACCCGAACCCGACCCGAACTTGATTGGGTTTTGGGTTTTCCCGTCGGGTTCGAGTCATACTGTTATCCCTAAAAAACAATGACTTAATTGAAAAATATATATATAGAGAATGGTATTATTGTAATTATTCTTAAATATATAATGTAAAATTATATATTTTTCGGGTCAGGTCGGGTTTTTACTCTGACTCGAACACCACATTAAAAATACCCGACCCGACCCAAATAGAACCTATTTCTTTTTAAAAAACCAATCCTATCGGATCGAGTCGAATCAGAACCCATCGAATTCGAGTTCATGCCCATCCCTACCCATTAGCCACCAAAAACTTGAGAATGATGGGTTTATGCTTACACTTTCGATTGTTTTACCAACCCCCATATTTTAGTTTTAGTCACCGGTTGTGGACATCTAAGCTAACATCGTCGCCACTTAATTATAGTCAAATTCCAGTTTTATGTTGTAGGTATTCTTACCAATAACCCATCTATGGGTTGTTCGTCCCTATTAATAATTTTTTTATTTATCTATGACGACATTATATGTTCTAAAGATCCTCAATTATTTAATTTATACGTATGTATTTATAATTTGTTTACATAAATTGGATAAATTCATGTCTGTGTAAAATCTTATTAAAACATATAACCCATTATATATCAATAGTATAAGTAATGTTACAAGTCTTTCTTTATTTTTTCATTTATTTTCTTATATTATATATTTATTTTTCTTTTCTTTTTTAAGTTTATAATAATTCTGTTATCATATTACGTTTTCTTCTACTTTTACGATGCATTTTTCTTTACATTTATGACACATTTTTATTTTTTGATCATTTTTCTAGTCTAATTTTTTTAAGGTTGGGTTTAACATCGCATCAATTAATTAAGATTGTTCTTATTTATTATAACGTTTATCTTCTCTGTTTTGGTTCTTCAGATTAGACTCACGCTGTTTGGGTTCGTAGAAAGTTTCCTCAGGACGCTCGATTTATTTTATTTTATTTTTTAAAAAATAATTTATAATCTCTCAAAACTCAAATTAGAAAAAGTTAACTTTGTTAAATTAGATCGGATCCAAGATTTTTTTTTTAGCATGATAGACATTAAAATTTATTTATTTATTTATTTGTGATAAGAATTTGATTATTAAAACCAACAATTAATTGGTCTAGTGAGTTGAGTCACTAGGTCATTTAAGTAAGGTCATCTGTTCGAATCCTGACGTTTGTGAATAAGTAAACTGGGTTGAGAGGGTCGTCTTCGCCTCTACAGTACTCGATCTGAATTAGTCGATCCGGATACCAGTGATTAATTAAAAAAATATTGATCATTAAAAATATTAAAAACAAGAGAAAAAAAATATAAAATACTATCACCAAGCACGTCAAAAACACTTCTATAAGTAGCCATACAAGTCTTCTATTTATGGCCACCGATCTTCCTCCGCTTTGCGCCACCTCCATTACCCTTTTTCCACTACCTCTCACCAATAAGCAATGGATCCAGTTAACACTTGGGGCAACTCTTCCCTCCAATCCGTCGACCCCGAAATCCACGACCTCATCGAGAAAGAGAAACGCCGTCAATGCCGCGGCATCGAGCTCATCGCTTCCGAGAACTTCACTTCCTTCGCCGTCATCGAAGCCCTCGGCAGCGCCCTCACCAACAAATACTCCGAGGGCATGCCGGGGAACCGTTACTACGGCGGCAACGAATACATCGACGAGATCGAGAATCTCTGCAGGTCTCGCGCTTTGGAGGCTTTTCATCTCGACCCCACCAAATGGGGTGTCAACGTGCAGCCGTATTCCGGTTCCCCGGCCAACTTCGCCGCGTACACGGCGGTTCTCCAGCCGCATGATCGGATCATGGGGCTGGATCTACCTTCCGGTGGTCATTTGACTCATGGGTATTATACCTCCGGCGGGAAGAAGATTTCGGCTACCTCGATTTACTTTGAGAGTTTGCCTTATAAGGTGAATTCGAGCAGTGGGTATATTGATTACGATAAGTTGGAAGAGAAGGCGATGGATTTCAGGCCTAAGCTTATCATTTGCGGTGGGAGTGCTTATCCTAGGGACTGGGATTATGCTAAATTCAGGGCTGTTGCTGATAAATGTGGAGCTCTCTTGCTGTGCGATATGGCTCACATTAGCGGCCTTGTTGCTGGTCTGGTATATTGTTTGATTTGGACTTCAACTTTGTTTTCCTTTGATTTTGTTTGTTGCTTATTGGTGGTGTTAGATCTTAGTTTTAGTTGTGATTTCAATGTTTTTTATGATATTAAAATCTCTTGATTCAAGAACCCATCAAGTGATCTTAGAGGAAAACGTAAGTGTTAGTTTTCAGGTTTTCTGAACAAATACTATTTTATAATAGTTCAAAATATTAAAAAAAATCTCTTGGATTTGATTATAGGTCTCGCAATCATTGTTCCTATATGAAGTTTGTTAGATGGTGGTATTTCAGCATTATTAAGTTACTTTATGTAGTTCTTGATTTTCCGGTCTCGGATTGTTGAATTCTTTCTGGTTTTATTGTTGGAGTAGGAGGCGGCGAACCCATTTGAGTTCTGTGACATTGTCACCACCACCACCCACAAGAGTTTGAGGGGTCCTAGGGCCGGTATGATCTTCTATCGTAAAGGACCGAAACCCCCCAAGAAGGGCCAACCTGAAGGTGCGGTGTATGATTTCGAAGACAAGATCAACTTTTCCGTCTTCCCTTCTCTTCAGGGCGGTCCTCACAACCACCAGATCGGTGCTTTGGCCGTTGCCTTGAAACAAGCCATGTCACCCGGGTTCAAGGCTTATGCAAAACAAGTTAAGGCCAATGCAGTTGCCCTTGGAAAGTACCTGATGAGCAAGGGGTACCAGCTTGTTACTGGAGGGACCGAGAACCACCTTGTTCTTTGGGATCTCCGACCTCTTGGATTGACTGGTATGACAGTTGAATCACTTGGCCTTACAATTATCATTTTCGATTTGATTCGATTCTGATCAGTTTTATCATTGTTCTTACAGGCAACAAGGTGGAGAAGCTTTGTGACCTGTGCAACATCACCGTTAACAAGAATGCTGTATTTGGTGACAGCAGCGCATTGGCTCCCGGCGGAGTACGAATCGGTAAGAATCATTCTCTATTGGTTTTTGTCTTCGATAGTGTGTGACGACAGAACTCTTAGAAGCTTGATCAAAATTTTCGTTAAAATGGCCTGGTCTATGATGCAAATTGATATCAACAGGTACACCTGCCATGACTTCGAGAGGCTTGGTCGAGAAAGATTTTGAACAGATTGGTGAGTTCCTCCACCGAGCGGTGACCATCACCTTGGACATCCAAAAGCAGTACGGAAAGCTCTTGAAGGACTTCAACAAAGGTTTGGAAAACAAGAAGGAGATCCAAGAGCTCAAGGCCGATGTTGAAAAGTTCGCATCCTCTTTCGACATGCCGGGCTTCAAGATGTCCGAAATGAAGTACAAGGATTAGATCTCAACTACTTTTTTATGCTTTATGGCCGTTATTATCAGCATATGGGTCTTATGGAAATTTGCCTCTGCTAGTATCCGATGAGTTGGAAACAAAGGGAAAATATTAAGAATTTCTTCTATTGCCATGTATGGTTTTCATTGTCTAGGGTTAGTGGTCCATTTGCTGTGATGGTTCAAGCTTTTGATGCCCATTTCTTGTAGGAGTCTACATAAAACTTATGTACCAATTATCGCTTCAATCAATAAACGAGAAATTTGAGTCTATAATTACCTACCTCTACGTCTCTAACGTATGATGTTGCACGAGGAAGTAAGTTTCGAATACTCTAACGTAACCGTATGCTGTTGCGCTCGGAAATAAGTTTCGAGTACTTTAATGTATGCTGGAAGTAAGTTTTGAATACTCTAATGGATGCTGTTGCACTCGGAAGTAAGTTTCGAATACTCTTAACGTATGCTGTTGTACTCGGAAGTAAGTTTTGAATACTCTAACGAATGCTTTTGCACTCGGAAGTAAGTTTCAAACACTCTAATGTATGCTGTTGCACTCAGATTGAACACTCTCTGTTGCGCTCAGAAGTTCCGAATACAGAGTATATGAACATCAAAATTAGCAACTAAATGTCAGATAAGCTTGTGTCTAACACAAATATACCCTATATTTTTCATATAGCATTAAGAGGATCATCCACTACAAAGTATAAACATATCCGAATACAGGCTGAACATTGAAACTTCAAGAAAAATGAAGGATTCGGATGACAATCTATCATTTATCTCTAACTCTAGAAGGCTGGGAAAATTTAAGATCATTTTCACCGGCTTTAGAATTACTTTTCATCCGATTCTGGTTCAGAAAACATCAATCAAACACACCAAAACAAAGTGATTTATTGAAAACCCCTCAAAATTGTTGCATAGATGTCAAGGATTCCAACATGCCTCTTACATTTTGTTCAGATATTCAACTAAGTTTCCGAGTTAGACAATGCAATTCCCCCAAGTAAAACCGAGCACTTCCACCAAATCATTTCGACTTTTTACCTTGTTTCTTCTTGATAACTTCGTCAATGTACATTATACCTTTGCCTTTGTAAACTTCTGGAGGCTTGCAACTTCGAACCGTTGCGGCAAACTGATGCACCCTCTGCTTGTCAAGTCCGGTGCAGCAAACAACATTGTTTTTGAAGCAGAAAACACGAACAGCAGGAGGAACGGTAAGTTCGACCTCATGACTGTAGCCTAGTTTCAGAAATAAGAGTCTCCCCTCAGCTTCAGCTCGGGCTTTGTAACCAACTCCAACAATTTTAAGAAACCGAAAGAATTTAGCTTCCATGATGACCGAAAATAACCACCTGAATAAGTGGTAATCATTTCAAAAATCATTGAAAGATAAAAAAAAAACAAATATCCATTCAAAGGAAGTGAATGTAGGAATGGCAACAAGTAGGATATCGGTACCCTATCCAGGTTAGTTTTCATACTATCCGAATCTGATAAATACATGGTTAACTGTTAAAAACTCTGCGACCCTCTCCCTACCCTAATAATTTCGGCCAAATTAAGGGGTTCTCTATTCCTTGACCTAAATCCAAATCGAAATAAAACTCAAGCAAGGATCTTAAGATGTAGTCAAAGTAGGGTGTAAATTAGACACCAGCTATCACAAGCTACTCAAGTTAGATTCAAAATGAATCAAAATCGACTCGACCATTATCAGGTTGAGCTAAGATATTGAATAAAGCGAATTCGAATACCCCAATACTTGACTTGAGTTTCTTGCAAGTATGATCAGGCATTTTGATTTTTTTAATTAGTATTGATAAATCACAATTCAAGCAAAAATAATCAACTATAAAATAAAGAATGAGGAGCAGACTCATTTTTTACCATGTAAGCGAGATTAATCAAATTCCAGTAGAACAAGCACGGGCTATAAAAATGCAACTCAGATTATACTCGAGCAAAACGCTTCAAGCTGCAAATTTTGAGCCAAACTTAAAGCTTCGTGCAGCTTGAGCTCAGCTCGATTCGATTGCACTCTGAAGCAGTTTCAAAGGCAGCCAAGCAAAAACCAGAGCAATTTGAATTGTCAACGGATCTTAGATGTAACAACAGCAATGACAGGGAAAAGGTAAATAATAATACATAAATCGAGAGATACATCATTTTGACATTTCAAAAAACTAATGGCATTTCAACAAAGGACGAACTAAGACCAGATTTCATAAAAAAAAATTACATCATTTTGACATCTATACACACATAGATTCAAATAGAGGTGGCGTAGCGGTGTTAAAGCCGCTATTGCACGGCTATTTTGAGCAGATAACACAAATTCTCATGAATCAAGTGGAAATCAATCTTCAATTTAAGTTTAGGTTTTCAAAAGTTACCTTGTTTAGATTTCCCGATCTGTCGGGAACGTGAAGGTAAAGAGAGGGTGAGTCCGGCGGTGCTAGGCGTTTTAGGCGGCGGGGATGTGCGAAGAGAGATAATGTACGTAGGGAAATTTAGAATAACTTTTTCTTTTAAATAAGTTAAATTTATATGTAATTATTATTTAAATATTTATTAATTGGATGGGATTCAGTTTGATTTTTGGTCTATCTTTCAATCTGATCAGACTTAGATTTAAAGATATTTTATCTAATTTGATTTAATTTTTGTGATAACCTCATGCTCAATCTGATATATATATATATATATATAATTGGTTTAATATAAAAATAAGTGATTAAATTATGTTTCGAAAAACATTTTGGTACTTAAAGAATTTTTCGTTAAAAATAGGTACCTAACGTTTTTTTATTTATACTTTTAGGAGTCTATATATTTTTTTTAAATTTTTAATAATAAAAATATTAATTTTAAAAGATAAAAGATAAAAAATCAACCTCAACCCCCGTCCTTCTCTCCCTCTCCCTCCACGGTCACCAGTCATCTTCGGCCATCATCGTCATCGCCAAATGGTTGGATTTTGAACGAAATTATACGATTATTCGAATGGTGGTGGCGGTATGGCTTATTTATATCGATATCGGTCGGAATCGACAAAAACAAAAACGGTGATTTAAAATACGATGAACCTTTGAACGCTGTTCCACGATAAATGGTGATAGTTTACTACGAAAAGTCAACGGAATTTGATCAGGGGTCGACGTTAATTCTGATGTCGGCGACGGTGACAATTACCGTCGGCCAACTGACCGGGGGAGAAGAGGGAAAGGGGAAGGGAGCACATGGTCGGGGGCTGTTTTTTCAATAAAAATATTATTTTTTTCTAAAAAAAAATTCCTAAAATTATTTTTATTCCCAAAATTTTATTATTTTTTATTAAATTATGTATATAGTATTATTTAATGTTTGATCCAATTTGTTATCACAATCATTTCAAAATTAATTGATAATTTATCAATTTATTTTTATTTTAAAACATATAATTATAAAAATAATTTTATGTTTTTATTTTAATAATTAGGAATGGAGTAAATTATTAAAATAACAATTTAATTTTGTACCGTTAAATAACGATCAAATTCAAATCCAAGCATAATATCAAATTTTCATTATTACTAATATAAAGGTACAATTGAAATTTCAAAGACCAATAGACAATGAAAGCAGAAATCATAAAGTAAAACGATGTTCATAAGATGAACTCTTCAAACATCTTCAAAAACACCAAAAATATTACCATCCATGTAATTGTTATCTACCAAGCTCACCAAATAGTAGCTCCTCTGAATCTGCAAAAACACCGAATCAGAATCGAACGCGTCATGTTATACGGCGTAACTCCGACTCCGGGTCGGATGCATTGTTATTTGTCTCCAAAACATGCATGATCAACTCTATTTTTTGGCTTTTGCATATTCGCATAGATAGGATTAAGGTGGTATTGTGCTCAGTCCTAGTAAATATGAAGTGCAGGAGTGAGCATCAAAGCGAGAAACAAACCTGTTCGAGCAGTTTTTTCGAAGGATCGCCGTCTGGGTACAAGGCGGACCATGATCGAGCCCAGATTTCGAATGCTTCATCCTTCCACACCATGAAACTGGCAGGATCCACAACGGTTGGCTGGATTATTTCTTTAGCTGGGAAGACACCCCAGGTTACTGCATTCACACTTGTGAGACCGATGTTCGATACCAAATCCCCATCTTTGTTGACAGCAACGTAGGTCAAAGACGAAAACGACTTGCTCTTTTTCACAAGTGCATCTAATTTTTCCCGTGAGCAGAAAAACTCGAGATATGCCTTCTGGTAAACGTACCCTCCCGGGCCACCCCAACCTGCAAGCCATCATATTGGAACAAGTTTGTACGGATATCAGCGCAAGCTTTTACAATGAGAATTTGAAGCAAAGGGAAGACAGTTCAAACAGGATAGTAGTATTCGACTATTCATCGCAAGGGATACTTTATCGAACCAAATTCGAGGATACATAAGAGAACATAAGTCGGATACTTGTACATACCAACAGATGGAGAATCAGAGCGCTCCCCGTTAACAGCCGGTTGACTATTGATGGTAAGGAAACCCTTCAAATTGATCTTTCCTAGCTGTTCATTTATGATCTTTGTCTCCGGCTGAAGCCCGTCCAACTCGGACCAAGGGCTACTTCTCAACTTACCCAGACAATAACTTTTGAATTTCTGATAAATCCGAATTTGAGAATTACATAATTAAGGCCGGTTTAATCGAAAAAGAGAGGAGCATATACCAAATGGATTCGAATATCAAAATTTCACCTCTTGGATATCATCAATGCTTTTCAATGGGGTAGACCATTCTTCCTGAAGTTTCTTGTCACGAGCACGGGGCCTCATGAACTGTTGAGAAATTAAATCAACTTCGGTCACACACGGTTATATCATCCAAAAGAGGAAGTAAATGAGGACATTTCATCGATCAAACAAAAGTCGGTGTTCTCTATCAATGAACCGATATAACACATCAACTTGTTATTGAATGGACCGAAGATGCTTTAAATATTATCGATAAGAAACAAATAGCAAAATTCAACCATATTGTATACCTGATGGTCGGATAGCGCACCATATGATGCATTTTGAGAATCACCCCATCTCCCCTGTGGGTATTGGTCCCAACCAATTGTCCGGGATATGTAGCTCTTTGGACGGTTAGCCCTGTCATCATTAAACCGGAAAGATCAGGTATTCAGGAATGTTTACACTATGGTACAACTCGGTGAAGTGCATGGATCTAGCCAAGAACTGGGACGCTCAATATTTATCACATACCAAAATATTGGCCGAACGTCCTCTTTAACACGAAAGACATTCGCAGGGCGTCTCCAAGGTAAAGACCTGGAAATTTTGGACTCTTCAATCAATCCAAGATTCTGCAAAAACAAAGCCTATGATTAGCATGGGGCAAACGAATAATGATGGACATTAGCTCAACCCGAAACTATTGCCAAAGTTCAATTCTCATTTACTTTCAATTGCAGACAGAGCAACGTCAAGTTAAATGAAATTTGCATGTAACACGTCACGTATACCGTACTTGCATATCTTTTCTAAAATAAGTGAACAAAAACATAAGGTTTGAGAGTTTTCATTAGACCCTCAAATCGTAAATGTTCAATTTGAGAAAGGAACCATGAACTGAATATTTATTCAAGATTTTTCATTTTAAATTTCAGAGTTCAAGAAGTCAAATGATATTCGGTAGTAACATCTTTAAAATGCAAAAGTAATGATGAAATATAGGATGATAAGAAACAACCATTAGAATAGCTAATGCAGATTTCTCCATGTTTAACGTGTAAAGGTGCAGCATCTTAATCCCGTTAGCTAGAATCTTGCGGCACATTTCTGTTCCAAGGTGAATCCCATAGGCTTTTACAGCTTCATCATTGTCCTTGATAGGCTCTAAGGCAGTTGTAACCTCATCTGGTATCTACAATGAGCCAATAAAATTACATGTTATAATCGAAAACTACTAATCGAAGTAACCACCAAATAGCCCTTCACATCCACTCTTCTAGCAGCCCATAACGGGTATATTCAAACACAAGTAAAAACAACGTATCAGTACAAACATATGCATTATTATTATGATACCACATACCTTAGTTTTGCAAAAGCCAGTCATGCGCAAGAAGCCCTTGTAGTTATTAATGGGCATAATACCGGGCACGATAGGACATTTAATTCCGATCTGGCGACAATCATTGACGAATTTGAGAAAGATATCGGTATCATAAAACAGTTGAGTAACAATCAGATCAGCTCCTGCATCGACCTACATAGTAGAGAGGTTTAACACAACAATTAACTACTACAAGGAAATCGAGATATTACAATTTAGAACAAAACTTTCAAAATAACCAATGAGTTAAAAGTAAAACCTTTCTCTTCAAGTACGCAAGATCGTTCTGATAAGCTTCCGGGGTAGCTAAGCCGTTATCTCCGATAGCATCAGGATGAGCCTCTGAGCGAAAAAATGGGCAAGATTAATAATCACAGGCCACGAATATAGAAGCCTATTTGTAGCAGAGAACTAAACGAAGATCAAAAGCACCTGGATAACCAGCAACTGTTATGCCGAAATAGTCACCATATTTAGCTCTAATATGTTTCACCTAGAACATTGTAACAGAACTTAGTAACATACTCCTGGTAAAAAAAATGGAAGCAAAGTAAATAAATAAAGAACAACGATGTTCACCAGATCGAGAGCACAGGCAAATCCGCCTTCCACCTGAACGAATTTGTCCTGGCCATGAGGTGGGTCGCCTCGAAGGGCGAGAACATTCTGAATGCCATTGGACTTAATGGTCTCAAGAGCGTGGTCAATCTTCTCAACAGGCATGTTGGTGCAAGTGAGATGCATCATTGTTTCCACACATATGATGTTTTGCATCTTGTTAGCAATGTCGAGAGTGAGATCTGCCGTCGAACCACCGGCACCCCATGTGATGTCGCAAAAAGACGGATTATGAGCCACCATTCGATCCATCCTCTCGAACAGGTTGTCCACACCATCCTCAGTCTTGGGAGGGAAGAACTCAAAGGAAAACACCACCTTCCCTTGGTCCTGTTGCAAAGACTGGATC